ATCATATTTTGAGCCATTGTCTTAAATAGTTCCTTTCTTGATGGATTTTTTCTTCTCCTTCAGTAAACTGGGCTTCTGCAAATTGCTTTGCGGAGTAGCACATAAGGCACTGACCTCAAGCCTTTAGACACTGCTGCAAATTGGTCTTGACTAAAATGAGCCACACTAGTGGACACACTAGTCCACATCATATAACATGCAGTTTGGGATTATTGCCAGTCTCTGCCCAGAAGGTACCCAGAAATGAATTAGTGAAAGGACTGAATGACTTCTTGCTGCTTCTCCAGAGGCAGGGTATATCCAAGGTGAGATGGGATCATTCCTCGGGCAGCAGAAAGGAGAGACAGTAAAAAAAATAACCCTGTAGTGGGCCTGTTGTTCTCAGTGTCTGATGCCATTAATGTTGGAACACTCTGTACTGAAGCATGCTGGTGGTTGAATAATTCGTGCTGCAGAGAAACAAGCTGAACACGGAATCAGTTCTTTTAAAAGGATCAATTTTTAGAATGTATTATAAATAAACAATTGTTTCTCGATATGGGGAATGATTTTATTTGATGGCACACAGTGCTGCTTCTGCAGAGCAGATTGCTCTGTCAGAGCAAAGGGAAAAAATAATATATTATAGACATGAGATGCATGAAAAATGTCATTAAATAAGTCTTTACCAGCCTTGAAATGGGGATGGTTTGCATAATTGATTAATCATAAGGGGACATTTTTGGTCACAGACATTATCATTAGTAGAGCTCCAAAGTTAAATAATCTTTATACTAATAAAAAATGCCATTTTCCCCTCAGATCTTTCCAAGATCTCTTCTTTCTTTTAGTCTCTCTGACTTTTACAGGCCTTAATAATTGAACGATATTTAACTAGAAGTGTGGGTGATGAAACCATTGTGAGCAAATTTATCCCCACGGCGCTCTGCAAGAGCGGCAGCACGCTCGGGCCCAATCCTGCGAGCTCGGCCGTGGTGCTCCACCTGCCTGCACCAGCGGTTTAGATCTGGGCTTTTCTCTCCAAACTCTGTGCAATGGGAACTTCCTGGATTTCCTTCTTGTAAAAGAAAAATATAAACGTGCCAAGCAGCATCTCTGTGCACCCTTTTTTATTCCGGTGTTAAAAGGCAACTCTCCTGACTGTTCCGAAAATTATTCTGACAGATGATTTCACCTCCTTGTGAAACTGTGGGCATGACAAACACATACACACGCTTTGTGAGACAGTTCGTGGTCCTGTAGGATGAATGTCGCTGCATCTAATTCAGAGATATAATAATAAGGGTTTTTTTATTGCCAAGGATTTAATTAAGGGAAACAGCTTTAGATACACAGTTCTCAGAAGGATTTGCTTTAGCCTGCTTTCTTTAAGGCTGTTTTATATTGAATAAAACAGGGATTGCCTGGAGCAGGAGTGGGTTAACCAAGGCTTGCCATACCTGATTTCATTCATGAAATAAATGGAGTATGGTCCTAGCCTGTTCCCACACAACGAAGTGGCCATCTTCTCTACCTCTCATTTACTGTAAATCCTTCAGGAGGTACAAACTGTTGGGAATCATGTCCATGACAAAAGGAGGAATGTAGATGTTTGACATTGTACAAAAGAGGATATTTGGTATTTTGCTGTGGCCAGTTTAATTTGGTTTATTTAACTGGGAAATGATCCTTAAGTTGAGACATATAGTACCTTCTTATCACAAATGTCCTTCTCAGGAGATCTCTAATCAAGTGTTGCAGTACACTGCAGACAGGAAAATGTGGTCAAAAGTTCATTTATTACTCCAATTTTTTAATGTGAAAATAGGGAAGTATTCATATACCTTAGTAACATATTGTAATGGCTTCCAAACATGAGCATAAAGTTGGGGTAAAATTAATTCCAGTCCATAAAACTTTCTGATTTGTGTTTGTGTATTTATATACAGAACATAATATATATGCAAACACAAGCTCACTATTCACACTAACTTATATATGTACTGAACATAATTACACAGAATTGAATAGTGATACATATGGGAAATACATTGTGTAAATATTTAAAGGACAATGCAACAAACTTATTTAAGAGAGAATTTCAATGCATTTAGATATAAATTGTTGTAAAAATCAAGATTTCCTTCATGAGTAATAGTGGTCATATTTGTAACTACTGCAATGTGAGGAACTGTTTGCTAAATCTGTAGTTCTAGTTAGCCAATTTCAAAGCTGCATCTGAGTGTTTTGAAGCAAACCAGATTTTCAGTTTCTTACCAGTTGTTTTTAGTAGAGTGGAACTGGAGCAATGCAGAGATTTACATCTTTTGAGATCCCATTTGGCAAATTTATATATGCCTTTGGCTGTGAAGAACACAAATGGTGATTACTGAATACCATAACTAGTACTTAAAAAGTCCTGACCATTCTCCTCCAAATTTGCTTCTGTTCTATCTATATTTTATTAGTTCAATTTCTCAGTCTGATATATATATATAAATTTCTTGAGATTTATTTCATTATCTTGTAGGTATGTAAAGCAAGTATATTTTAATCCTGTATATGTCTTAAAAGATCTGTTCTATAAGCAGGGATTTGCAACTTAGGCAAAAATTTTTTTGTATGCTTTTTTATCAAGCTTTAATGATGGCTGTATTGAAGTTCATCTCTTCCTGCCTGTTTTGGTACTCTGTTTTTCTGTATCAGCCTGCATTGGCTGTCCACTATTATCAAATATTTGTATGAACAGGAACACATTACAGTGCTGCAATATGCTCAACCAGTGTGACATATATTTATTTTGCATTTTGCATCTGAAGTTTTGTGGTAATTTAGTCTCTCAACCCACAGCTGTGATTTACTAACATGGTATGACTGCATTAGAGGTGCAGAGACACCGCTCCCTTCTGAATCCACCTGCCAGTATGTTTTAATAACAATCCTAACAGCTCATTGAATGCTGTGATTATTTTTTTCTTCCAAAGAAGTTGTTCAACAGATATATCCTTTCTTCCACTTCATCTTTTCTTTGTGTGCTCCAGTTCAAGAAAGCTTCCCACCTTCTGTATTTAGGCAAGTTTTGAAAAGCTTACTTTAATTTTGACAGACTCAAGCATTTTTCTGAATTTGGTGTGAATATTCCCAGGAATTGAATAATTATTTAATATTTATATTATGAATGCATGACGACAGGCATACTATCATGACATTTAAAATAATCAAATATTTACAAACACAGTAGTCATTTTTGTCCAGCCCTGGAAGAAACCAGAGTTCAACTGGTGTAAGGGGGAATACTTTCTCTTAAAAGTATGAGGTTATCATGGTCTCAACCCATGTAGAGTACTAAAAATCCATTGGATAAGCAATGACTTTCAATCACAAAAAAAACAGGTTGCCTTCAGACTAGTGACCTAGATAAGATGGGATCTGTATTCCATTATCACTCCCTAAACTACCTAGTCATGCATGGCACTTTATCACCTTTCATATCCCAGTGTGTTATAATATGCTGCTAGATCATATAGCACTGGATACTGCAGCCTAACGTGTTATTCCTGTATTTATTATGCTTTATATTTACTATGCCTTTGTGAAAGAGATGTCTAGCCTACTGGTCTTGTTGCAAACTGTAAGAAAAATAAAAAAATAACTTTTCCTGTGACAGTACAATTAAACCTCCAAGAGAATGAAATTTCTCTCCTTGACACGTAGAGTTCTGTATAGCCAGACAGGACTGATTCCCATCTACCTCGTCATGCACATTCTCCTAATGCGTATTAAATGTACATTGATTCAGTCAGCTACTAATTCAGGAGCCTGAGTGATTTGTCCAGGGAGGGAACAGAATATCTCTACCTGGAAAGACCGGTGTTGTCCACAACCTACTAGGTTAACCTATTCATAGAAAGCCCACGTTATTTCTGGCACAATTCTGTTCAATATAGATACTTTTCACGGAAAATCTGTTTCCAGTATTGTGCATATGCCACTATCCCCTCTCTTGTCATAGTTGAATGCTGACATAAATCTTTTTCTAATAAAATGAACTATTCAAATTATTTCTTTACTGAATGATGTCTGAAACAGATGTATTTTAATCTGCTGGGCATAGAAAATGAAATTTACATGTCAGTGAGGTCTTTCTGGTTAATAAATGTTTTAAAAGAGAGAAAGCAGGAAGCTAAATATATGTAAAATGGCACTGCTTTGCATAGGGTGCTTTTAGCAGAAAATACAATATTCTAATACTAAATTATATCTTATTTATGAGACAAAAAGTACGCATATTTTGTCATAACAAATATCATCCCTGTAGGGGTATCATATAAAACGCTGGAAAGAATTCTGATTTCACCAGCAATACTTTCCTTGTGCTACTCCCAGTAATATTTCTTTCTTTTTTCCATGTGGGAACAGCATCTGCACAAAGCATTTTGTTTATTATCTCTCTCTGTGTGTAATTTTGAACTCATTATGTTTTCCTATTATTTTAGCTGTTTACATAGCACCAATTTTAGTACATTACTGCAGCTTCTTACTCTGATAGAGCTGGATCCAAAGCCTACTGAAATCAGTGGAGGGACCCCATTAGCTGAAGTTGACTTGCCATTGGGAATGGAAGTTAAGACAATGAAGAGTTGGCTTCAGTGTCCCCTGGAGATTCAGATGGGTTTCCAAGTAATCACAAACACTTCTAAAAATAGCTGGATATGTTGTTGAAATTTTAAGTTCCTCATCACAATAGTGATACTCATTTTGTAGCATTATTTGGTAGGCAGGCAAAGAACATACCTATTAAAAATGAAGCTTTAAACCCGATTTATTTTACTGTCTGAACTGTTGCCAAATTTGATAAAGGTGCAACAGCAGAGTTAGCCTAAATTGCCAGTATGGAAAGCCCACAGACAGCCCTGCAAAAGGAACGCTGCCTGGCTGGGCTCTGCCACACGCCGACATCTTCAACCAGGTCCTTCTCCCAGCCCCTTCCTCCCTCTCTTCTCTCCCTCCCTGGTCCCTGCTGCTCTCTTCCTCGTCCTCATCCTCGTCCTCGTCCTCGTCCTCGTCCTCGTCCTTGTCCTCCTCGTCCTCGTCCTCGTCCTCCTCCTCCTCCTCCTCCTCCTCATAATAATAATAATAATAATAATAATAATAATAATATTAAATAATAATATAAAATAATGTCCCCATGCTCAATACCTAAGGGATTCATCCCCAGGAAATAAAGTGGTAGCTGAGGTGACACGTACTGTACCTCAAGCAGGACAATGCTGTGAGAGAGTCTCTCTTCATCAGAGTCAATTGTCGGACAGTGCAGGAATTTTCTCCTGAGCACACCTCTTCTCCCGTAAAAAATGGGACTTAAACACCACAGTAAAAAGAGAAATGAAGAGCTCAGTTGTTATCTCATCCTGATTAAAAAGTGCTTCAGTCTGTGTAAGTTTTCAGCCAGAGAAACTCAGCAATGATGTCCAGGTTCATTTTTTAACAATTAGCAACTCTGAGCCTCAGACTGACAGATTACCACAGTTTGGCAGTATCACCAATAGACAGGGAGTTGTGAAATTGTAAGACATTATTGTATTGTTGGTAGCCTGAGTAAATCTAAATCTTTTCAAGCTTTGCTTCAGTGGGTTAATTCCAGGACCTGAATTACAAGTGCAATTTGAATTACATTGCAAAGACTGAACTTACTTCACTTTAGCAAAGTCCTTTTTCTTAAGATTTATGAATTCCAGTTATTTTGAAATCCTGAAATGTTGAAATCTTTTGATACCTTTCTTATTTCCAAGGAAAGACGGGTAAAGGTTTTCATTGACTTTCCCTGCCAGCATCTCTTTATTTAAGTGAGTGTGTTTCGTTAACTCTACCTTTATTTTGTGGTATCTCAGCTGCTGCTACACACTGTGTACATCCACAGGGTTTTTTTATTCTCCCAGCCCTAAACCTGAGATATTACAATAGCAGAGGGAAAAAACCTTGACAGAATCAGAAAATAATAAAAAGAATATGAATCAAATAAATGTTTTGTGTATATTTAGGGCAATTGAAGACACCTGCAAAATACAAGGATAATTTCAGTTTGTCTCTACATATTTTGTCTGGGATTTTTAAAACACTCAACTGACTCTAACTAATTAAGTCTCAAAGCTTGATGCTGAGCTATATGAGGCAGGGCAGAGGACATCACCCATCTTGTAGGGGAATGAAGCGAGATGCGGTTACATGATTTGCTGGGTGCAAGAGATTATTAAATATTGGATTTGTGAATACAGATACATATTCCAGTTACAGTTTAGCCATTAGGATTGATTTTTTACCAAATAACAACAGCAGTCACAATAGAGAAAAAAGATTCTGCAGTGAAGTGTCTTGTACAATAATTTGTTTCATCAGTAGCTTGTTGTTAAAAGAAACCTGTATCTGACAATCACCCATACAAAATTTTACTTAGAGTAACTGAGCTATTATTGAGTACTGGCTTGAAACTATAGTTTTTCAGGTTATCGAGGTATTTATTATACATTCTCCAGAATAGGAATGCTGACTGAGTAATTGTTGCGGAAGGCAAAAAATACAGGTTAATATTAGCAGTTCAAAAGCTCAAGAATTTTTTTAAGAGCAACAGCTAAATGGGGCTGTGGCCCTACAGTTGTTTGCAGTAATCAAGGACTTTTCAATAGACAAGTCTTTATTCAGTTTCTCACAACTGTATGGAACTGAATAATCAGACTGGAAATTGGGTACATACTTTTCAGGTTTCAGCTTGGTTTCTGAGGGCTTCAGTTTTCTCCAGTGTAGCACCAGGATTTTTTAAATCTCATCAGAGAAATTCTATCCGTGGAAAGTAACACTATGCTGTGATGCATATTTCTGCATCCTTGCATTTCTCATGTTAATAAACCAAAAAGAATGAAAGACGTACAAGTTCTGTTGCTACAAATGTTTAGTCTTCCACACCTACCAATTGCAATTTTTTCTTCCCAAAGTGTATTTGTGTTTTCCTTAATCCAGCCTTAATAGACTGAAGTGATGAAGCTTCCTACGCTTCCCTTCAGAGAGCATTGTGAAGTATAATACACACCACTGTTCAATATTTTTCATTACATTCTGGTTGTGTTTAGCTTTTTATGTGAATTCTATAAATCTGATATACAATCTCTTATTTGTAAGAACCCCTCATTATGCTGGAAAAATATATGCTATTAATATTTCCATCCAGTTATGCTAGCCTCCCTTAATTATTCTTACTGACATATATTTCCCATGATTTTAGAACAATTTAATGCTAGGAAAATGTGTCTGCAAAACAAAATTTTGATCAAAATATCTGAGGAGAATATTTTTACCTTATTCTGTCTGGAGATGAATTTAAGATTTGGCTCAAGTCAAATTATGGGTGCAGATAACTTATGTGAATTTGCAGGTTGTGTGCCCCTGTGGTATTGGGTCTGTTTTTCTGTGCTATTCTCTTCAGGTTCTCAGATTTCTCTTACAGTAAATTCCTGGGCATTTTGGGATATAATACAAATAGGGGTAGTAATAGAGGAAAGCAAGACTCAAATTCACTAAAATTTGATTTATGTTGTTCAGAATCCATAATGTTTCAATATCTATAACTCTATGTGCACTGTGTTCCTTATTTATTTGCAAATTCACTTAGTCTTCTGCTCCCTTCTCGTTATATGACGTGCCTTAAATCTCTCAGGGTAGTGCACTACAGCCAGTGATGTACTGCAAGAAATGCCTTATGCAGACTCTGAAGAATGTATTGGAATTGGCTCATAATTATTTAAACAGATATTATTAGATCTCCCTCTGATTACATATAAACTGTCTCCTGTAACCACTTGAATCTGTGAAGCCGGAAGGGAAAGGCTGCACATTCACTGATTCCAGTGGGATTTAGACCTCTAAAACCCTAATTTGTCCCAGATGTGAAAGGAGGGAGGCTCTGACCAGGACTGGTGAGCGGTGTCGCTGACAGCCACATTACATCATAACTACCCGGAACTGGGGAATGTTTATCACACAGGACACCCTCATTGGGGGAAGGGAGAAGGAAATGGAAGGTCATTCTGGGATTCAGGGTTCACAAGGCTACACAAATGCTTAATGTCCATAAAATACATCCTGGAGACAGCAGCGAGCTATTTTTTGATGCTTCCCTCAACACAAGCAAGGTTTTTTCAGAGATTGTTTCAGAATCTGTTTTTCTCATTAAGGTTTTAAATCTATGACTTCTTACTTTGATCGCATTTGTTGACATTAATCCTTATTTTAACCTTCTCTCTGTTTTTTTCTTCCCCCCCCCCCCCCCCCCCCGACAGCATCAATCACTACCTGCATCTGAGTAAACAAGCAACCATTTCCCAGGAGAAGGTGCAGATAGGTCTGCTTTTCCCCAGGCAGGGAGGGAGGAAACATAGAAAACAGAACACGTTAAACACCACTGCCAACACTTGGATGCAGCCCTTTGCTCAGGTATTTACTGTATTGCATCCTGGATTTTTGAAACCTGATTTATACATAAAACTATGAGACAAGAAGCTCTCTGAACTGCTGAAACCAACCTTTCTTTGGTTGGCTCCAAAGCCAACAATAGGTGGGTGGGTTTGGAAAAGAGAGAGAAAGGAACTTTACTCCTAGTCAGGCAGGCTTTGACTGTTGAGTTTTGTATGTGAATGTCACTAACATTTCATGGCAGGTCATGTGTCAGGCACGTTGTGGTGTAACCCAGGCAAAAGAGAAGTATGGCTGAGAATGGTGACATCTGCATCTGTCATAAGTGCAGAACAGAAACATGTATATGGACCCTTTTTATTTGGGAAACCAGAAGCAGAATGAATTTAGCATGACCACATATCTACACTTCACCTTGTAAATGTGCAGGAAGATACTCTTCCTAAATGGGGTGGTTGTAAATTTTACTGGTTCACTACTAGGCTTTCCTTTGCCAGCGTTGCCTCCATGTCAGCAAGACCTTTACCTGGCAGAATTTAATTCACGGCCAGGATCTGGAAAAACAGGAGGCCGAATGGAACATCATCAGCTCTATATTTGCAGATTTGCTCAGTTTTGCTCAAATTACTTTCCTGTTTCGTAGCTTGTCTTCTCCTTAGCACAGAAAAAAAGGATTAAGGCTGTCAGGGCTGTACTTCACAGGCAGCCCCAGCAAAGCCCTTACAGAGGAAAAGCAAATGATCATAACCCATCAGGATCCTCTCCAGCATAAGAAAGGATAAACTAATTTTTTTAGCCCTCATCGGGTGCCACAGTCAAATAAACAGCACCTGACAGTCTCTGGAATCGAAGATAGAAGGTCACTAAGACCTAGAGTTATTAGTAAGGACACTGAACATTGTCCCATTGCCCTAGGGAGATTTTCAGTCACTGAAACTGATGCCCTTCAGATGCCATGTCAAGGTCTGAAGCCTGACTGATTGGTGTCTAAAAATTAAGAGCAGATGCTGCTAGACACTATTTGCTATCTATCATCTCTTCAATAATCTTGCCCAGAAATGGGAGGTTTAGCAATCAGACAATAGTTGGCAAGAAAATTAATGTCAGGAGAGGATTTATTGAATGAGGACCCAATAAATGCATGCTTGAATGCTTCTGGCAGTCTGCCTTTTCTTAAGGAAAAATTACCAATAGTAGGTATTTTCCCCTAATTTTCACTATGGGAAACATAATTCTCATCTGTGGAGTGCTTAAGAAATTTTCCTTAGAGTATCTAGGACCTCTAATTGAAACAGGGCAAAAGTGAATTAATTGAATTATCTGGTATCTTCATTCCTTTTTGGTAGTTTTATAGTGACAAATCCACACCCAGCGTTCAAGTTTGGCAGCTTTATGCAGCATGAAATAGTACAAGCTAAAACAGTTGGAGGTAATCTTGGCTAATCAGATAGACTAATGTAATAGTTTACTGAGTTTTTAAGATTGCTTGATATATGCAATGGCAAGTCCTGTCAAGACTGGATTTTCATCAGAAGAACACACTAGTCCAAATGCTGTGGTCCATAGCCTACGAACTTGCTGATCATTTTAAGGCCAATGTAATACGCAATAGGAGAAAATGAATGTCAGATGTGCATAATGATAAAGAGGTCACATCCTTAACCTGATGCATCATTTGCTGATTCAGAATTACTTAGAACTTGTGGCTCAGTGGAGGACAAAAAGAACTTGTCAAGAAGGTTCAGTTAAAGTTTGGAAGGCTGGACTTCGCATTCATTAGACTTGATGAAAAAGAGATTTCTCTTTTTTATCAAAACCGTGACATCTTCTTTATGTTAGACAGCCAGATGAAGTATTTTCTCTTAGGTGTTTTAAGTATATTTTATTTGAACTTAAT